TATACAATATAAATGCATTCGGAAATGGGCTTTGAATCTGGTGAATAAATCTTAAAATCCTTGCAGCTGTTTTCACCTCAGCCAGTAGAAGTTCTTTAAGAACCTTAAGTACAGAAAAAAGGTTATTTCCACAAACATTCTTTTCTTATTCAAAACTTAGGTATGATTCTAGGTCTTTACAACTTTGAAACAATTTATCTTATTTTACTACTTGTAGTTTTTTTAAATGATACAAAAATCCAGTCATAGTATTGTAACTTGTTATTTGTTCAAACCTTCTGCAATAACAAAAAAAACTCTACTTTAAACATTTGCTTGGCAGATCCTGCCATAGGATGTCCCTCGTACTTAAACATTCTTCTTTTCTTTCTCTGCCTGGTTTCTTTGAAATTTGGCTCTACACCAAGAGTATCATTAAGTTCTATTGCTAACAATGTTGCCGCCACAAAACCTAAATCTAAATTTATGAAAAAAGAGAACTAGCCTTTAAAGTAACTGCGACGCAACCCCAAGGTGCATTTTTTGGGTCTATAGGCTTTTCTTTCATAACTTATTTCATTCATAACTGTTGGTGTTTCACTATTGGTTTTTTTTTTTTGGATCCTGAGTGAACTCAACTAGTTCAACTAATGCCGTATGAACTTCTTTAATTTGATATCGAAGAGCTTTTACGCTTTCCAGTTTACTTTCCCAATGAATGTCATAGGACCTTTTTGCAGCCAGATTTAGTACGTGTTGAATGAAAACTTGCCATTGCATTATTGACGAAGAAAAAAGACAATAAATTCTTTGTACAGCAACAAAAAACGTCATAGATTCAAATAATCATTTTGCTGCGTCCCAAATTAGGAAGTTGAGGCTATGGCTAGCGCAGAGCTTGTAAAATGCTTTTGGATTTATTTCTAAGATCTGTGCCTGTACTCAAGAGTAGATACTTTTTATATTGGAACCATTGTCCCCTTCAGTCCCTGATTTGCAATCCAATTTCATTTAACTCTTGTAAAAGAACATCAGTTAGATTTTTTCCCGTTGTTGATTTAACATCCAAAGAAATTTTCTTTGATGCTTACATCTTCATTTTCACAAGAGAAGTTGCATTCATATTAATTTTTACAAATTGCATGACCAATGATAACTACTCCTTTTGATTAAGATCCGGTGTGCAGCCTATTAATTTTTTACCTTTTTTTTATTTAACTTTTTTTATTAATATTATTTTACTTTGTTTTTGAATTTTATTTTAAATTCTTTCATTTAATTTGCTCTAGTTTCTTCTTTTTAGATATTTTGTTTATTTTTCTTTTCTAGTTTTGAAAAACGAAATTAAATTTTCGCCTTATCTATTAATTTTTTTTTTAACTTTTTGACTCTTTAAAAAAGTATATTATAGCCATTAAACAGAAGAGCTTCAATAGCTTCGAACAATGATTTGCATTTTTTTGTTTGCTATTATCACATTCGAAGGAGAATCATGTTGATATTTTGTTAATAAATAATTGCATGGGTAATTAGAAATATTTGGCACGTATATTATTGTTATATTATTTTCATTTACCTAAAACTTTTTCTTATTTTTTAATGACAGAAATGCCTTTTATTTTTTAACAAGAGTAAGGTGTTGATGCATAAGGCCTTACTCTTGTTAAAAATAAGTAAAAGTTTTGATTGCTCATGTTTAGGATGGCCTCGCTGCGTGAGACATTCCTAATCGCAAGGCCTGGAGCGGCTCCACTCATGCTACCCTAAGGACGGCTCTAGATACATATATATACATATATATATATATATATATATATATATATATATATATATATATATATATATATATATATATATATATATATATATATATATATATATATATATATATATATATATATATATATATGCTTGTCCAAATAATTTAGAGAAGCAACTCGCATAGCTCGCCATGTTCATTTTAGGAGAGCTTTTCACCGCTCTTGCACTCATTTCTTCCTGCCGAGGCCTGTATATGTATATACATATATATCAAATAGTAGAAAGATAGTATATATAATAATCTATCTACTTTCTATAATATCTACTAATTTATAACCCTGTTTTTTTTAAGAACATTGAGCACTTTATTTTGTAGAATACATTTATAATTATTGTTATATATGTGTATGTATGTATGTATGTATGTATGTATGTATGTATGTATGTATGTATGTATTTATATATATATATATATATATATATATATATATATATATATATATATATATATATATATATATATATATACATATATATACATACATATTTATACATTCATATATATAAAATTTCTAGTTTTGCTGGGTTATATTTACAGCAGGATTATTTTTCTACTTAATAAATGTTTAATTTTAAATATTCAACTTAATTCATTATGAGCAATCTTCTAAAGTTTTCATTTTTAAATTGCTTCTCTTCTTTGTTTGATATACTGCAGCTGTTTTTCATAATGACTTAATATGCTTAATACGTATTTTGAGAAAAACGCAATTAAAAAAAAATTATTAGGAAAAACTCTTTGTAAAACGTTTTTGAAACTAATAATTTTTATAAATTTTTTTTAGAACACTTTGAAAATATGTATTCAATAACGTTTGTAGATATCTAAACTAGCTTATTTTGTAAAAAAGTCAAAATTTATTTTTTTTACCTTAAAGCGTTTTGAAAATTGGCTGCAGTATAGTAGAGAGAAACCAATAACAAAAGACAATTGTTTGCAGTTTTAATGAATAAATTATTAAATTACATTGACACTTTGATCTATTTTAATTGTGTACATCGCTTTTACATACAGTTTCAAAAGGTTTAAACAATTAGTTCTGAAGAAATATATTTGAATATATATTGAATATTTAAATACTTTATTTTAAAAATTCTTAAATTTTTTTAAAATATTCACATTATTGTTCATCATATTTTATATTATAATTTTTATCATTAGATAAATTTAATAGTTTAAAAACTTATTTAAATCGAGAGTCTTTTAATGAAAATTAAATAAAAGTTTTCGAAATCCTAATAACTTTCAATTGAAAAACTGGGTTGGCTTGCTGATTTCCATAAAATATAATGTTTGTTAAAAGAACTTTTGTTGCAATATCCTACTTTAATTTAAATAAGTAACAAAGACATTTAGGGGGCAGAGCGAGATTCTTTTACCGCACGAGGACAGCAACTAAATTTAATCGGCATATTTAAATATCTAGTAAACAAGGTATTTAAATAAAAAAATGTATTTAAATACAAAATTATTTCATAATTTTTCAATTTATAATTATACATTAAATACAAGGGTCAATAGAAAAAAAAAATTTTTTGTCAAAGTGGTTCTCAGTTTGTCAAACTCGGTCTCAAAAAAAGCCTATTTTCATAGAGATTTTTGAAAACATAAAATTTTTTTCTTAAAACTTATTGACAAAAAAATTTTGTAAAAAAATGCTTGACTTTAAAAAAAATTTTACCAAAATGTTTCTCAGCAAAATTACAACTACTTATTTTTATTACTAATGAATAACATTTTTGAAATCTCTATGAAAATACTCTTCTTTTGAGACCCAGATTGACATACTTTTGAATAACTTTTTTTTCAACAATATTAGGGACTTTACCCCAAAAACTAAAGATTTGAACCCAAATATCTTTACAACTTGACATGATGATGAAAAATGAGTTGCATATTTGAAATCAAAATGAGAAATATTATAATAAATACTAATTGTTTGCTCGGCACCAGAAAAAAATTATTTTTTTGTGAAGCTGTGATATCTACGTAAATTTTGTATTTGTAAATTTTTTTTTAAAAATTTGTCTTTATAAATATTGGTTAATAATTAATAATATAATTTATCTTCTTTAATGTTTTACGCAAATTTAACATAGATAATACGTTTCATTGCAAGTTTTATTTTTGATTATTTTTGTTGTTATTCAACAACAAAAGATCTATCTGTTGCCTCTTCACATAAAACTGAAAAAGTTTTGTAAAGGTTTAGAGTCTAGAAATGTCAAAAAAACTTGATTGGTATTATTTTTTATTTTGTTGTAGTATTTATATCTCTGACGTGATAGGAATATTCTGACTTCAATTTTATCTTAGACGTTTATACTTTTTGACCAGTGTAAGTAATGCTATGTTCTCATCAGGTTAATACAGCTTTAATGGGTTCTTAAATAAAAATTTGTGCAATTTTTTGCAGTCTCATACTAAACTCATTTCTCAGTTTAAATTTTGTTGTATGAAGTAACTCAGTTCTAAATAACTAGGTTCAAACCTAACTAAGCTAGCTTTTTGTTGTTGTTCTGTTACAAGCTTTTTCATTGTCTTCAAACATTGTTAACTGATGATGTAACATTTTGAGATAATGAATTTTAGTTAAATTGAAAATCTTGAGATATTCAATTTTCATTACTTTTCTCAAAATGATATATCAAAAGTTTTTACCTCATAATCTTTAAATTTAATATCTGCAGAAATTAAAAGATTGAACACTGATGAAAAAATGGTATATCATAAAGAATTGGTTTAATTTGTCCTATAAGTACGTCAATGTCACCAAACTTCATATTTATAACTAAAAAAACTTATTAATAATCATTCAAGATCTAACAATCAGACCAACTTTTCATCTATTTGATTCTGCTCCATTATGTTTTAGAACTTCAAATAATCATCAAGAATTATGTAACTAGAAACTCTAGACTTGGAAGTCTCGAAGAAAGTTTATCTGGATGCAGAGGGCCAGATGGTGGATTTTTTTACTACTATTTTAAAAATCGCTTAGAGTAAAATAGTACATTTTAAAACCACATATTGGCTTTATAATAATAAGGTAAGTTTAATACATTTAATACTTTTATTTTGTACAAAAAATTTAGAGAACCAGCATGAAATATGTTGATTGCTTGAACTAGTAAATGCAGTCTGTCTAAAATCTATTAGAACTATATATATAAAACTAAAAACCATTTAAAAATATTACTGCGTGGGATTTTTTTTCTTCTTTTGGATAAATAAAGGTTGTTGGTGACATAAGATGGTTTGCACTTAGTACCATTGTTTGATGATCTTTATGTTGGCGTAAAAGCACATATTGAAAGCCTGCGTCACAGGAGAAACACCAAACATCACCTTCACATAACTTCTTTATGATTTTCCTTTTGAGCAATTTTTTTTTTGTCTCCTTGAAAAGAAATAAAAAACAGTAAAAAACAATAAAACTTCGAATTATAAAAAAAGTTAAGTGTAATGACTATCAGAGAAAACTGAGAACCACAGTTATCTTTAATGTTCAATAGAAAATGGTTATTAATTAAACAAACACAAATGTTGTATCATTATCATTTCTATAATTATATGTCATTATAAATGCTGTATTAAGTGATAGAGCATTTATAACTATATGTCATAATAAATGCTGTATTAAGTGATAGAGCATTTATAATTATATGTCATTATAAATACTGTATTAAGTGATAGAGCATTTATAATTATATGTCATTATAAATACTGTATTAAGTGATAGAGCATTTATAATAGAAATGACAATGATAAAACATTGATGTTTGTTTAATTAATAACCACTTTCTATTGAACATTATAGATAACTGTGATTCTTAGTTACACTTAACTTACTTTTTAAATAGAACTATTTAAAATAGAAATGGCAGTGCTGTCATTTCTATTTTATATAGTCATATAAATATAATAAACAATTGTGTAAATATAATATACAAAATAGTCATATAAATATCACATACAAATTATATAGTGTTGTCATTTCTATTTTATATAGTCATATAAATATAAATATACAAATTATGTTGTTTAAAAACTTCCTTGTTGTATGTGCATCAAGTATATATTGAAAAAAATGCTGGTGCTTTTTTTAAATATATTCTGGTAACAGCAAACTCATTATTACTTGCCAAAATTCATTAAAAAAAGTATGTTCAGACAACTTTTTAACTTACCCTAAATAGGTAATATTTGGCTTCAATTATGTCACACACCCAGGCAGGGGTATCACTATTATAATTTATAGACTATAATTGTAGTAGTCTATAAGTCTATAATAGATAATGAATCTAAAATAGATAGTAGATAATAATAGCCTATAAATCTAATAGACTCATAGACTATTAAATAATATATGTATATATGCAAATTCAATTTGTAACATACATTACACACACAACAACTTTATCAAATATTTGCCTATTTAAACAGTAAATTAAATTTTTAACTACTTTTTATAAAAGCTATTATTCTAAAGAATAAAATAAGCTAAAAAGTTTTGAGTCTGGCCAAAAGAGGGCAAAATTATTACTGAAAATGCCACTTAACTTACATTGCACAAAAAACAGGGTAAAAAATTGCTTCAACTTTTAGGTCATATTTTTACTAATCAGTAAAGTGGTTTGTATTGGAAACTTTCACAAGATGTTAAGAATTCTATACCAATTTAAAAAATATATAAAAACTTATCAGAGTTGAAAGCTAAGGAAAACAAACTAGTTTTTTTTTGATACTATATATTTACATTGTGTTACATCACTTATGTTCTCGAGCAATATTTTTACGGGAAATTTTTATATCTATCATTAAGAGTTAGATTTTATAGAGTAACATAACAAAAGAATTGCAAAATTATTAAACTTTCATAACATTGATGAAAGTTATCAAATCAATAACAGTTTTTTCTGCAAGACCAAAAGCAACTTCAAAAATTATTTTAGTATGACAACTTTATTAATACTTATTATATCATTTAAATAAGAAAATCTTAAGTTTGTCAAAATTTCTACTTAGACTTTTTATGTTTATTTGTATTGTCTTATTTTCATTAGGTTGAATTTTTAAAATGCTGCAAATTTGAATCTTTTAAAATATTTTTGATGTAAAAACTACTATCCTAGTTTAGTAGGGAGAGGGGGTTCAGGAATGTGTGATCATTTGTGAAAGGGTTGTAAAAAAATTGACAAACATATGGAGATATACTATATGGATGGCCCCCTTTAATTGAATTTAAACATGATTTGTTTTATAAAATTCAAAATATTAACTAAATAAGAATTAGGTAATGGCATAATTCATTTTGTAAGCAACAAATACTTAACGAAAAAGCGCTGGAACTTTAGTAAATCCATGAAGTTTTTAACTTACACAAATTTAAATTAAAAATTTACTTTAACTAAGCATCATTATTCAAAACTTTAAATGTAAAAACATAACATCTAGTATTGTTTTGCCTTTTTTTTTTTAATTTATTCTTACTCACTCCCAACAAGGTTGCAAGCAACCACTATTAAGTTGGGAGCTACTATAAATACGCAAGTTGTTTTTAGGAATTTTAATTAAAAAGAAATCTATTTGAGCAAAGAATTTTAGTCTTCTAAAACTCTCATATTCAAATAATTTTGCAATTGAAATTTGAATTTGATTTTAAAAAATAATTGGAAAAAATTTAAAAGAATTTTAACACTCAATAATAATAAATTTAATTTAGCTGTGTCCATAATAATCAATTCATAATGCCCAGCATAGCGAGACTCGTTGCTAAAAGTTAAACATGTAACTAGCTACAGTAACAATATCAGATTTAGAACAAAGTGTAAGTGAGGAAGAAAGTTTTATTTAAATCATAAGCAATTTGAATAGTTACTTACATTTTTTTTTCTTGAAAATAGTTTTAAAAGTAGAAACATTCTATTACAAACATTAAACCAGTGATTTCAAAAGTTTAAATAAATATTAAATTATAAAAAATTTAAACTAAAATTAATTTTTAGTTTAAATTTTTAATTAATTAATAGTTTGCAATAAAAAATAAAACATTAATTTTATTAATTAATAAAATATTTTACTTCTGTTCAAAGAAATTTTTTTCTAAAAAAACAATTTGAGCATATATTTAAATTTGAGGAAATAAAATTCGATTTATTAAACCAAATTTATTTTGTTTCATTTTTTATTGCAAAACAATTTGAATGAAAAAATTGAAAAAACATCCACTTAAACCCATTTTAATGAAAAACTTACAAAAATCTTTTTTAATAAACTTAAAAATAATTTTTACTATATTATATATATTTTATATATTTTATATATATAATATATAATATATATATATTTATATATATATATATATATATATATATATATATATATATATATATATATATAATATATATATATATATTAGGGGCGTGGTGGCCCCAGAGGCAATGCGGGATTCCCGCATGGGCTTTTCACTTTTTTATATAAAAATGGGCCTTTTAGCAATTTCTACTTTTTCTACATTTTAAAGAAAATCAATACATATATTTATATTTACAATGTTAATGTTTGCACAAATTAAATATAATTAATCGCTTGATTTAAAGTTGTTATCTCTCACCCCTCTCAAAGACCCTCAAAGGCCTTCTGTTTTAGCTATGTAGTCGCGCTAGTTTAATTTTGAGCGCAATTAGTATATTAGTATTTTGCATAATAATAAGATTGGTTTGAAAACAAAGCAGATGTATGAAGACGTATTATGACATTTTTTTCATAAGAAACCATATGAACCCATAAACGGTTTATAACGACTGTAATGTTTACAAAAGAAATGCAAGAATGTATTGCGTTTAAGTGGTGTTAAATTTTAAATAAAGTTTTTTATAAATAAGAATCGAGTTCATGTTTTGCACTTTTATAATGATTCAAAATCGATAAAAACCTTAATTATAATAAAACAGTTTTCTGTTTTTATATAGTTTTTATTATTGTATATAGTATTTCTGTTTTAAAAGAACTTAAACAGTTTAGTAATGGCGCATTTATTTCTAAATAAAGTATTATAAATTCATTTATTTATTTCAGGACAATCTTAACGCAAAGCAAGGTAAATAAATAAATCACTCCATAATATCCTGTCCTCAGACAGGTTAAAAAAAAGACGATGGCTGTGCAAAAAGTTCATTTAAAGAAAATATGTTTAATGAAAACTATTTTTTTGGAATTATATAAATACACATTATAAATATACAAACATACATATATATTAAAAAAAACTATAAGAAGTAGAAGGCGGCGGCGTTCATGGCTTCCTGCTGCAAATAAATTAACAATCTCATCTAAAGGGACTTCCTCTAAAATATCTGCATTGTAGTAACATAGTAATGTATCTCGCGTATGTTCCTAGGTTAATTTGTTTCTTAACTTGTTTTTCACATATTTAAGAGAAGAAAATACTCTCTCACACTCGTCAATGTCAACACTAAGAGTCAAAATACGGTGATATATATGAAACGTATTTTTCATTGCCAAAGATCCACCTAATGCTCTTTGCTGCAGAATATACCTAAAAAATGGAAAAATAACCATCATTAATTTCAAAATTGATTAAATGGTGCATACAAAGGTGCATACAAGGCATTGGTGCACAAGATGATTCTTTTCTTCATGAGCTCCTGTTTTGTAGTTATTTTCTGGCAATACGCGTTCTTCGCTATCTGAAGTTTCTGTTTCGCTATTTTCCATTTCATTGTCATCATTTATTATAACGATTCGACGTGTGCCAAGAGCTTTCAAATAGAGTCGAAGTATTTTTAGTTCTTGTCTAAGACTAACACAATCAATGTTATTCAATGAGGGGAATTTTGCAATATATGTATTGAAATTGTACGCATCAATTTCTCGGTCAGTGTTAAAAATTAGCATATTTGGACATGCAATTGAACACAAAGAATTTAAATCTTCCCAGCCTTTATCACTAAATCAGGCACGCATCTCTGTTAATATATTACCGGATATTGAAGAACGTATTTCTTTAAATGTTAATCTCAGAAACGCATATAGCTGTTTTATTCGAACACTGCCACCACCGTTCCCGTATGATACCACTAAACGTTCTAAATCATTTTTCATCTCTGAATTTTCAGGATCAAATTTCATGATAACATATACATTTCTTTGAAGTACCTATAAATATAATAGTTAACATGCAAATATTTTACCACTAATTTTACCATTAGAATGTATATGTACCAAATATTCCTTTAACAAGGTTAAATAATTATGAATTAATCAAACAAGATAATTCAATAGTTTAACATTAGTATTTTTAGCAGTTCCTTGCGTTTCCACATCAAAATCAGTGTCAGCGGCAATTAAGTCCAAAGTAGCGATTAATTGAACAAT